CTCCCCACAGCCGCTGGAGCGAGCGCTGTGCCGCCACTGCGCCGTCGTGTCCAGCTCGGGGCAGATGCTGGGCTCTCACCTGGGACAGGCCATCGATGAGCAGGAATGTGTCCTGCGCATGAACCACGCCCCCACCGCCGGCTACGAGGAGGATGTGGGGGCACGGAACACCATCCGCGTGGTCTCGCACACCAGCGTCCCGTTGCTGCTGAGGAACCAGCCCTACTTCTTCCAGCAGTCCCAGGAGACCCTCTACATCATCTGGGGGCCAGCAAAGAAGTTGAACAGGGAGAAGATGGGCTCGACCTACCAGGCACTGCTGAAGATGACACAGACATACCCCCAGCTGCAGATCTACACCCTGACTGAGGAGAAGATGACATACTGTGACAACATCTTCCAGAACGAGACAGGGAAGAACAGGTACCTCTGGCTCCTGAGGGGCCCCATTGGTTCCCCTGGGGTGGCACCCGTTCCCCCCACACTGGGCACCCATAGCCCAGCCAGGCTGGCAGCACTGTGCCACCCGCTCCAGCGCAGCCATGGTTCTTCACAGGATGAAATCCGGCTCCTTCCTGAGCACGGGCTGGTTCACTATGATCCTGGCCATGGAGCTGTGTGAGCAGATCCGTGTCTTCGGCATGGTCAGCGACAGCTACTGCAGGTGCGTGGGGGGCTGCAGGGGCAGGCAGGGGGTGGTCTGGTGTCCCCCCAAGTCCTACACCCACCCCATGCCCTCCTGCCAGGGAGAAGAACCACTCGAGTGTGCCATACCACTACTTCGAGAAGGGCCGGCTGGACGAGTGCAAGATGTACCTGATGCACGAGCGCGCCCGGCGCGCCGGGCACCGCTTCATCACTGAGAAGGCCATCTTCTCCCGCTGGGCCAAGAGGAGGAACATAGTCTTCACCCACCCATCCTGGGCGGGCGGGTAGGGCGCCAGCCACGAGGTGAGGCAGCAGGGACCCCGGCGGCGGGGCAGTTCTCATCCTGCACCAGCGTGTCTTGGCTCTGCCAGTGCCACAGTTGAATGCCTTTTGCCAAGCCCTGGAGCAGGGAATCTCCACCTCTGCAGCAGCAGGGCCTGTTCCCCCAGCTGGTGGGTGGGCTGGGACCCCCCATGTCAGGGCATGGGGTGTGTGAGCTGGACCCGTGGAGCCCCGTCAGCTCCGGACCCCCGTCAGCTGCCTGTATGGACCCAGGATGACCATGAAGGTTTTCCACCCACTCTTCTAGGAAGAATATTTAATGCAGGATTACACGCTCACCCTGCTGGGCTCCAGCAGGACAAGGGGCAGGAGAGCTCAACCCTGCCAGGGCCACAAAGTGATGCCTCTCTCAGGAGTGAAGCTCTGCTATGGTCCTTGTCCCACTTGTGCCCTGAAACCCAGTGCAGGGAGCCGGATTCAGGCTCCCTCATCCTGCTGCCTTCTGCTGCTCAGTGCCTGGGCAGGTGCCTGGAGCCCCCTGCATCCCTCCAGCTGGGAAGCCCTCGAGCCGCATATGCCCTGGGGGCTCCGAATTGCCTTGTCACAAGTGCCCTTGGATTCAGACCAAAGCAAACGTGGCGATTAAAAGTGTTTTTAATTCAGTGGTGCCCCGTGTTGTGCCCCTTTGTGGCTGCGGAACGTGGGGACAGGGGAGACAACAGCTGATCACAGGGCTGCTGGTGCCCAGCTCCACTGCCAGGCTATAAATAAGGGGGAGGTGACGAGGGGGTAGAGCTGAGCCTGAGCATGGAAGAGGGTGCTGAAAGCAGTCGAGGTTATTTGGGAACCAGCAGCTGCATCTCCACAGGATGGGTGCCGGGTCTGGGCTGATCCTTGGCCTCACAGGGCTCAGCACTGCTGGGCTGCAGGCAGGACACTGCCAGCTCCTGTGTCCCTGGAGAGATGGGACATGCCACAGGCACTTTTGTGGCCCTGAACCCATAGCAGCTTTTTGAGCTCATAAGTGCAACAGGTCTGGGAGGCCAGGGGAGAGAGGAGAGGCAGAGATGTTGGGGTGCAGTGAGGAGTGAATGGTCTGGGAACTTCTGGAAATGCTGCCAGGGCAGTTTCTCACAGGGAGTGTAGCAGAGGAGCCCGTGGAGCTGTTTTCCTCATACCCCAGCTGCTACAGCTTTTCCTCATACCTCAGTTGTCACAGCCCCATGCAGGGCAGGGCATCACTGGCACAGCAGAGCCAGAATCCCCCTGGACAGGCACCAGGGATGCACGTGCCAGCGGTGGAGCTCCTTCCCTGCCCCACGAAACCCTTGAGAGAGGGGTCCTGCTCTGCCCAGCCAGGGCGGGGGAGGCCGCGGCATTCCAGCAATGTGCTGGGTCAGGCGCCGCGAGCTGCTCCTGGCGCTGCCGGGCAGGGCTGGCCCCATCCTCGCACCGGGGGCGGGCAGGGCAAGGGGGCATCCCCTGCCCTGTCGGGGTCTGGAGCGGGGAGGGCGGCCCTGGCATCCCCGGGCAGTCCCTATCCCGGGAGGGCGGCACTAGGACCCCGTGGCTCTCCCTATCCCGGGAGGGCGGCACTAGGACCCCGTGGCTCTCCCTATCCCGGGAGGG